AGCAGCACGCCCACCAACAAAGGTAAGATATTGCATAATCAATTTTGTTGTCTCAGTTTTCCCAGCACCACTTTCCCCACTGACCAAGATAGACTGGCTTTGACCTTCATTCATCATTGCTCTAAATCATGCCCAACAGAAACTCACTAATTTGCAACATGAAAAAGGCAAGCAGTAAATACGACAAAAATCAAACAATACATCGGATCAAAAGCATACTAACCTATAAGATGCATCAGCAACAGCAAATACATGTGGACTAAGCTCACCAAATGGAGCTCCCTTGTACTGCTCCATCATGTGGATATCATACAAATGAGGAAGTTTTGTGAAAGGATTAACAGCTATTAAAATGGTCCCTGTATATGTCTAACAAAGACAAATAAGTCAGGCAAACTGCATAAAATAGTACTGAATGCAATATTAATATGTGAGATGGGCTTAACAGTTCATGCAAAATTTAATAATATATATATAGAGAAAACCAAACCTAACTCATTTCCAAATACTTTCTTGTAGGAAGAGGATTATCTAAGTTTTAAAAGGAGTCTTCTAGCCAATATTTCTAACCAATGTGTGACTTCTTAACACATATCTAGTGCATGAAGTTTACAGAACTGGATATCTATGATTGGCCCAATATTTAAACTAGATAGGAGGCCTTGATACAATATTAGAAAATTGGACTTAACTCATTCTCAAAAAATAGCTCATAGGAGGAAGATTGTCTAATTTTTATTATGAGTATTCTGACCATATTCATAGCTGATGTAGGACATCTAAACAGATATATTAGTTAAAGTTCACTAAGTGAAATTGCAAAAAGGGAGCAGAATGTTACAAGCTACCGATTATGCATTAATTTATACATTTCAAAAGGAATTGTCAGTAGTGGCCACCTGGTGAAGTCAGTAATGCGCTCGGGATAACACACCATAAAAGCCCTCATTAATGAAAGCACTAATTAGTTAATTTCATAAACAAAAAGTGACGACAAAGCGCATGTGTCAGCTTATCATACATGATTCGTTGGAATACTGGCAGAGCTTGAAGTGGCTAAGAGCAATTGTTCCATACCCAGACACAGTGTTCCAATAATAACAATGCTTACAGTACATTGATAATCTTGTACAAAACAGTAAGATATCATTTCCCCAATGTGCCAATCCCCTCATACACAAGTCGGCTCACCAAACACCATTAAACCATTTCAATTTCACGTGCATCTCGTCAACAAATAAAGATTGACAACATGAAGAATAAGCTCAAGGACAATCCCAATTGGCCATCTAGATACCGAAAAATCTCTTCAATAAACACTCACATAAATATCATTCAGCGCATATCTTCTGTGGAGATTGTACAACACCCCAGGCTCGTTCAAGTAAGCCAACTTCGTCATATCTTCGACTCCTCCATGCTCATCTTCATCCGCATCCCTGGGAAACAGATTCTCCGGAGGAACAAGAACCTGCAAAAACGCACCTCGATATTCGAATTAAGCACCGCCATTCGCAGAGGCAAGCAGCATAGATTAGGCAGAAACTAAACCCTCACCTTCTTGCCAGAAGCGATGACAACGCGAACCTGTTTTCCGGAAGATTCGAGAACTTCAGCAGGGAGCCAGGCCAAGTCTCTGTCACGGACCCAAACCTTAGAGCCCTTGCGCAGATTCATGGTGAGTTCCTGCGAAAGGAGAAAGAGTGAAGAAGATGAATACGAAAGTGAAACCCTAGAGATAGATAGGGATGAAAGAGTGGAGAGGTAGAGTGAAAGTTACGGGCATGAGGTTGAGTTAGTTCTACTGAAATTTGGGGTTCCCGCCCTAACTGGTGTGGACTATGAGTCAAAAATGGCTAAACTGCACGATATTTATATCGTATTCGACACGTCACCACCGTACCCTCTGTCTGTGTGACTATGGTTTTCGACTTTCACCTTTGCATTTGCCCTTTAACCGTATCTACTGTTACTATCCTCTTTTTTTATATGTATGCCCGGGCGCCGGTTCATGATGGACCAACCCAACGTGCGTTTAAAATTAAGTTAAAAATTTATAAACACCAATCTAATATAAAAATATATAACTAACAGAGTTAAAATAATATTTTATTTCAGCTAGTGTACTTATCTGACAAAAAAAATTAACGTACCTGTGACTGATGAATGCTATGCTTATGCCTTAAAAGGAAAAATTGAGCGGTAAAAATAAATATGTTAAGAAAGATGAGTAGAAAAAAAAAATACTACACTGCAAAATAATAGAATCGAAGAGAATATTAAAGTAATACATACGGTGAAATAGATAATTACAAATTATCTAAAATAATTTTATTCTATATAAAAAAGACTTTTAGATATACTATTGAGAATAGACAAATATATTATTTATAGTCCAGTAAAAGAATTAAACATTAAAAATAATCTTAAACAAATTTATTAAAAGAAATATTTAAATTAACTAAATTTTTAAAATTTATATTTAACCAAACTTAATAATGTCGTATGATCCATACAGATGATGTTATCTAGATAAGGTTTTATTGTTGTTGTATTCATTTAAGTGTTAATTTAAATGTACTATTATCATACCATTACACATAAATTAATTCTAATAGATTTGTTTTAATTTAGAAATTTGAGTCATGTTATAATAAACAAAGATTTTCTTGTCCCTCAGTTTTTTATTAGATATTTATATTTTTAGTAGTTAGTATGAAATGTTTGTGCAAATATATTTTTAAAAGTAACAAATAATAGTAATTTTTTATAAAAAAAAACAAATAAAGTATTTTTTTTTATCGTTGACGTAATATGACATATTACTTGAGTTATTATCTCAAAATAATTGCTAATATATCACTATTAGATATGCAAAACGTTATTACAAATTTCCCTTACTGCAAGAAGTTTAAGATAAATGAATTTTAGTAATTCACCAAAATTATAAATGTGTTATTGGAATTTGCTAATAAAAACAATTTTTAAAAACAAAAATTTATGAATGTAAAAAAAATTAAAATTAATCATATTTACTGATATTATAACATATTTAAATACATCTTTCTAGTTCACCCAGTGGATAGCATAAAAAAAATAATCTATCTCATCTAAATTGAGAAAGGAAATATAAGTATTGTTAATTTAAATTCAAACATTTTATAGATATGATTGATTATAAATTAACGATACATAATTATTTATTTATTTATTTATATTATACTTTAAAAAAATAAAGAATGATATAATTACTAAATCAACAAGGCAATAAAGGATAAAGAATTTATCATCATGGACATAAACCCCCTGCTTAAGAGAAAAGGGCAAAACAAAATACAATTCATCAAGTTTATTGAGGGAAGGTTTCTTTTCTTCCTTCACATTTGTTTTTCCTTTCCTTTACGCTTCAATCCTTCTCTTTTCAGATTTCACCTTTTTACTCAACTTGTTAGTTTGGTAAGAGATAGAAAACTTGTCAAACACATTTCAATACAATTTCACAAGTAAATGTATAAAACTAAAAAATATTTTTTTTTTCTATCCATCGTTATTCATAAATCCAGTCCTTATCAATCAACAGTTCGTAAATAAATAATTTTTATCTTTAGAAAAAATGAGATTTATAATTTTTTCAGAAAGAACATATTTACCATCACAAATAGATGCATCTAAACCATTTAAGTAAAATTAGACCAAGTACTATCTAATAACTTGCATGGAAATAATGCAATTCCGAATTATCCGTTTCCCTCTGAAACGCAGTAGGGGGAAAATTACAATTAAAATATCTTACAATTTAAGAATTCGTAATGACAAAAACATTTTCTAATTTGAAAAATATTCATAAAAAATTAATCACGTCAATGTCAACCTTGACACGTAAAACACTGGTAGCTGTCCTTACCTTTTCAAAGTAAAAATTTTGAAATCAGCAATATATAAAAAAATTACATTATTATCTTAGTACGACAGGACAACGTATATTAGAGATGTTCAATAAACTGAATCAACTCAACAAGCCAGGACAATCAAGCTGGGTGAATTAAATTTGTTCTAATCCTTTTACAACATCAGATCCAACTCGAGCTGAATCAATTAAATTCAACCACTATTAGTTCGGTTCTTAATAAATGTATTTTAACTAGTAATATAAATTAATAAGCTATTACTAACTTTTCTATATAATAGATTTATGCACTTTCATAGCATATTTAATAGTTTTTTTTTCCTTTCAGAGCCAAATCAAACCAATCCATGATTCATCCAAACCTTTCAACTGAAGCAAGACCTAAGTACTATCCAATGACTTACAGGGAAATTCCCAAAAATACGGGACAAAACTGTCTATCTGTCAAATGAAAAATAATGCAATTCCCGAGTGTTCCGCTCCGTAGCTAAGTAGTCGAGGGTAAACATTAAAATTAGGTACTTGTCAAGCATTCTTAAAAAATGGTTAAGAAATTAATAAGTAAAAAGAATTAAAAAATTGCAAGCGCTCACAATGAATATGTATTAAGTGAGATAAAAATAATATCTCATACTTTTTTTCTAGCTTATTTTAATATTTTTTATTTAACTTGTCCAAATATATATTTTTTAACTTAAGTTAACAAGTTTCATAAACAATTTTACAATATAAGCCCTTTAAAAAAACTATTAAATAAACACCTAATTAAACTATTACGCAATCACACTCGTTATCTCAATCAATTCCTATTCAATATTCCTATAATTTAGTCTACGAGATCCCGAGAGAGATGCAATATAGTTGTTCAAGAACCTAACAATTGTCTTTTAAAAAATTGTGCCATCTTTTTGTAGATTTATTTGTCTTCTAACTACCTATTCTACAAAACTGGCATTTTTTCTGGTCAAGAAGAAGATGACATCTAAACATGTTAGCACGTTACTATGCAATAAAACGGGCTGGGTGGAGAACTAGTTTATCCACACGGATCGTATAGGATAAAAAATATTTGACATATTTTCTTTTGAGTTTAAATATACATTGATTTTCAATTTGATTCTCAAAATCCTCACTCACTGTTTTGAGATATGACTTCACCAAACTTGAGGAAGAGTTGGGCATCAGATGAGCTCATGGATGGGCAATTCACCAAGTGTGGAGTTTTAAGATTTGCATATTCATCTTTGTAGCATTGCATTTTAGCAGATGGCTGTGAATCAGGTAGTGTTTGGATTGGGGTGGATTGTTTTTGGGTGGCGTTGGATGGCACAAGACTTCCTAGCACGCGTGTTACCTCATGCATTGTAGGCCTATCAACTGGCTGCTTCTTTGTACATAAGAGAGCAAGCTGAAAAACCTTTTTTACTGCTCCCACGTCCTTGCATGTGGCAGTAATATCCGGATCAACGGTTTCCATTACGGCATCATTAGTTGTCTTCGACAAAATCTACGTAAACATGTAATATAGTCGTTATTATACGAAAATTAACTTCAATAAGATTAAAAGGTCTCCCCCAGCACATGCAATTCCCCAAAACTAACAACATTTTATGATAAAACCGCGACCGTACAATACCAAGGATTTACGTCAGAATATATACATAAAAGCATATGCTAACAAAGACATCTGTTAAAAAATAAAATTAAATAATAAAAAATGTTATAAATGCACTCTTACATGGTTCAAGAATTAAAAGTAAAAAATATTAACCAAAAAGATAAAAGGCGCTCATCTCATAATTTTCAATGCATTCAAACCTAATTTTTAATTAAAACTTCCTAGTTAATGATTTATTAACCAATGCCCTAATGTATTGGTTTACAAAATCCTTTTTAATATTTTTTTATTTATGTAAAAAATGTTAACCCAAGTCTTCAGAGCAACTAAAAAATGAGACACTTTCATAGACATAAAAAATATTAATTATATTAAAAATATAAATTATAATAAATGTTTTTTAAATAAAAATTTATTATTTTTATATACTTAAGGTATGTTTGAAAAACTTTATGAACAACTTATAAAAAATAATTTGCCACTCGTAAGTTGTTTTAACTTATTTTAGTAAGTTTATTAATATAATTTATCAAAATAAACTATTTTTAACTTATTTGAATAAGTTTCATCATTAAATTTATGATATAATTTATCGTTTATTCGGTATACAAGACTCACCAAATGATGCAGGTTTGATTCGTTGTCAACAGCTTTCCTCCCAGTTAGCAGCTCAAGTAATACGATACCATAGCTATACACATCAGACTTCTCAGTAAGCCGGGAAGTTCTAGCATACTCAGGATCTATATAGCCAATTGTGCCCATTATGTAAGTTGAAGTGTGGGACTTGGAGGGGCATAGACTTTTGGCAATGCCAAAATCGGTGAGATGGGGCTCAAAGTCTTTGTCTAATAAAATATTAGATGATTTCACATCTCTGTGAATGATACGGGGACTACAATCGTGGTGTAGATAAGCTAGCCCTTGAGCTGCCCCAAGTGCTATTTTTAGACGAAGATCCCACTCGAGCTTTTTCTTCTTGGTAGGTCCTAGACAAAAGAATGAACGTAACAAATCATAAATAAAATCACTACTTGGTTTGAGAATGTTTTTCGACACTTTGCTGAAAGAATGTTAATGGATTTGTTAGGTTCATATGTAGGCAAGTGCAGCATGCAGCTCCAAATCCTAAATGATAATTTAAGCAGCAAATGCTCTTACCATGAAGAAGATCCCATAGACTGCCATTTTCCATGTAGTCATAAAAGAGAAGGTTTCCATGTGGAGAAAAAGAGTACCCTTGGAGACTGACCAGATTCCGGTGCTTAATGCTGCCAACTGTCTCAAGCTCAGTCTCAAATTCTTTCAAGCATTGCGGATAGTGGGAATACAGCTTCTTGATAGCCACTGGCTTGCAATTCTTCAGAACACATTTGTAAACTGTACTTGATGCACCATACCCAATTATATACTTCTCACTCAGGTTTTCAGTCATCCTCATGATATCATCATACACATGAAGTGCCATATTCATATGAAGAATCACTAGCTTCGGAGGTGAATAGTTAACTGTCAATTTTCAAACAGGAGCAATCAGTAGATTGTCATCTTCAGTTCCAATAGGCATAGTTAAAAAAAAGTACCTGGTTTGTCAAAAGATCCGTCAGGGAAAGGAGCTGGATTTTGTGGTCGGCAAGCTGCCAGTAATATCATAAGAAGAATCACAAGGGCACCAAGAGCAATTCCTAGGATAGCTGCCTTAGACGACGTAACTGTATGGCCAATAAAACATATTAGCTCATTCTGTGTATCACACACCAAAAACCTTTATCTATCACTAGAAGGAAAGAATGAGTCACATTGTTATATCAGAAATGTTGGTTGGAATAAATCTATTTTCCATAACATCCTTACAATGATTTTGAATGAAATCACGGTGATAGGAAAATAAAAAAAAATACGTGTGAAACCTTGCTTTACACTTCAAATGCTGCTGTTTTAATAAGTTGAACTTACAAAACTTAATGACTGCTAGTGCACTTTAGTTATGTGAATCCCATGTCAGAATCCCAACAATAACTATCTGAACTCAACATGTTCCCCCACACATAGTAACCAAAGATAACTAGGGAAGATCTTTTGGGGGAGGAGCTAGAGATTTCTGGATGCTAAGTATAAAATCACACAAGGCATAGCACCCTGCTTGAAAGTTCAGCTTACCTCTTTCTGTAGGGTGAGATCCATGACAAGCTGAATTCAGCCAATAGCCACACAGACCAGGGTTCCCAATGAAACTGCAAAAAGAGTTGACATATATCAATCAATCCAAGAAAACTTGCTGACTGAAAATTGCATTAAGTTGAGAAATAGAAGCAGGCAAAGTTCAACAGTAAATGACCTCACCTGTCAAGGGAAAACCTGGAAAAATTGTTGCTTGTGGGAATAAAACCAACTAGGTTGTTATAAGAGACATTGCTACAAAATTTGTAGTCCATAATCAACTGGTTAGGTAAAAGTGATACGACCTATCTATAGAATTATAGTGCCCAATTGTGCAGAAATTACAAACTGAAGAGACAGAACTTACAGCAGAGAAAGACTAAGGCAATTCACAAGTGAAGACACATCCCCAGATAATTCGTTCTTTTGTAGTCTCCTATGGAACCATTAAGACTTAGTAAGAGTTGTAGAAAATCATATTGTTACCCAAAACTTGTATGAGAAACACAGAATGGGACATATGATTAGTTTTGGGTCCATCGAAGAGCAGGTAAATAAAATTGATATCAATATTTCGACCAAATCTGACAAATACAAGATTGATACATAGCTTTTGAAAAAAATCACCCAAAAAAGAGAGTATATTACAAATAAATAATAATAGACAAATGCCTATATATATATATATATATATATATAGAGAGAGAGAGAGAGAGAGATCAGCTAGTAATATTTAAGGCCGTAAATTCACTGCCAAATGAGATTTTCCAAGTCCATAAAATACCATCAACTTTTATTAACAAAAGCATATGAAGGAATATAGAATAAACACTGGATAAGGAAACAAAAACGAGCTTACAGGGATATCATGTTCTGAAGCTGACTAAGTTCTTCAGGAATCAAACCAGAGAGTTGATTATTTGAAAGATCACTGAAATACAGATGTAAGAAAATAATGAGTAAAGAATCCAACAAATGTTTTTTAAAATTTTCATCAGCAAGTTAACGGGCCTACATGTCCATGACACTTCTTAGATTTCCAAATTCTGCTGGAATAAACCCTGTTAAATGATTTCTGCTCAGATTCCTAGCAAAATTATTACTACCAATCAGTAAGTTGCGGCAGTCTGGATTTCAGAAAACAACTAGCTAAAAAACTCACAGCTTTAGAAGATGTTCCAAGTCACCAAGGGAAGAAGGAATAGAACCACTTATATTATTATTTGAAATATCCCTGGACGGAAAACATCTATTAGTACAAAGTCAGAGGGATTGATATATGGAAACAGTTCCACTCAACTTACAACGTATCCAAATTGCCAATCCGTGAAAGTTCAATTGGAATGGAGCCTTGAAGATTGTTTGACGAAAGATTCCTAAGGATGGTAATCAGAGTGTCACGAAGGAATAAGAATCATTAAAGTATTGCCCAACTACAGCAGAGATCCAGATAAGCTCGCGCGAAAGTTTGTGTGTACATAGAACTAATCACAATAGAATTGCAGATATGTTGCACAAATGTCCTATAATGTCAAGGTGAAACTTACAGATAGGTCATACTCTCCAAGCTCTGAAAAGCTGAGGGGACTGTTCCACTCAACTTATTCCCATGCACATTGCTGATACATGACAATTGGAAACCTATCACCTTAATGTAATGTAAAATTCCTTATAACAAAGTACAAGGTTTATTGCTTACAGGCTGTTAAGGCTTTTACACGAGCTTAGATTATTGGGAATTGGACCTTCAAGGCTGTTATTAGCGACATTTCTGAAAGAACAATGTGACATTAAGTTATTCCAAACCAAAAAAAAAATTGATGCTTCAAATTAATGACACTTACAAGTCAAACAAATCAGTAAGCTTTCCAAGCTCGGGTGGGATATGTCCACTTAAATGGTTATCATTCAATTCCCTACACAGGAAAGTGAATCATTAAAGGACAAATTTAAACCTAGTTGCAATTCTTGGTGCTTGTCTTTGTTCAAAAAGAAACTCATGTTTAAAATAATTGTAAAAGAGGCAACTGACAAGAGGTTCTTCTTAGAAATTGTAAAATCAAAATGAAATGATTAACTATTGTCAGGAAGCTGCTACTGCTGACTTCAAGAGTCTGGAAAAGAAATATAAGACGTCACCCTAATGACAAAAGCATCTTACAAATAATGAAGCTTGGTCATATTTCCTAGCTCTGGAGGGATGAGGCCAGTCAACTTGTTTCCATGCAAATACCTTCAAACATTGCATAAATTGTATCCAACATCTGAGTCTATAAATTTTATTATTATTAATGCACAAGCTTGAGGGAAATCAAAAAAAGATATAAATTCAAATAGCAATACTTACAATTTTTCGGTATAGGTCAAATTTCCCAAAATAGGAGGTATTGGTCCACTCAACATGTTACAACTCAAATCTCTGATGAGAAATGTTGAAAGAGGCATCAGTCAAGCGAGAAAATATCAAGTCAGCATGGAAACTTCATAAAGTTTGCTTTAATTCAATGCTTACAAGACAGCAAGTGCTTGCATCAGACCAATCACTGATGGAATATGCCCTGAGAGTTTATTGCCCTGCAATGACCTACCAAGATCAAACAAGTTTAGAGGGAGCTTCCTAGATCGAGGAAGTGGAAGACCAAGCAACATTCTTGTTAAAGATATCTGAAAAAGGATAATGCAATACATACAGGGTTGCTACTTGCAGAAACCCAATATTGAATGGTATCTCTCCAGTTAGCTTGTTGTACGATAAATCCCTGACATCAACAAATATGTTAAAATAAGTAAAGAGAAAACATGGTATGGCAAAGTTGTCACACAGACACGGTTGGATATACATACAAGACCTGGAAGGCAGTACAATTGCCTATGTTATCAGGAATACTGCCCGTTAAGCTATTGTTTCTCACATCACTACAAAATAGTAGGACAAAAATAATTACATTGGCTTTGAAAACGTAAAATTTCAGGGCTTGAAATGAAAAGAGAGGCACTGTTGTAACTTACAAATACCACAATCCAGTTAACTGGCACATATCAGGAGAAAGTGAGCCGACCAAATTGTTACCTCGCAAACCACTATCAAAGAAAACAAACAGACACGAAGGTTGACAGTAAGATCACATTATAGAGTCTGGAAGAAGCACAAATAAATAGTTTAATGAAATAATATATTTTATTGCATACTAGTTATACTCACAGATATTGCAAAACTTCATTCCAGTATATAAGTCTCGGTATCTCCCCGCTAAGATTATTTTGTGCCAGATCTCTAGAACCAATTTTTGAAAAGTTGTCACCCCATAGTTATTATAGATACTAAAAAGAGAACGAGAAAACAGAAAATAACTTACAGAATTTTCAAGTTAGGAATCTGAGACAGAGTTGAAGGAATTGGTCCAATTAGCTGGTTATTTTTTAAAATGCTGATATCACATTAAAAATAAAAACTTATCACAGCCTTATTTTAGCCTAGGCAAAACAAAACCTCAATGAATGAGAAACGCTCAGAAGAACTCACAGATTTTCCAGTTGCTTCGTCTTGGAAATTGAAAATGGTATATCTCCTCGAATATCATTAAATGACAAGTCCCTGATACTCAAAATAAATAAATAAAAATTTCCAATCCGCATTTCCACCAAATTACAAATATAAGTCAGTTGTTCTATGTACGAAAACGTACAGGCTTTTCAAAGAAGAACAATCACCAATCTCATCTGGAATCTGGCCAGTTAGACGATTTTCCTTGAGATCACTGTTCAAACAAGAGCCCCAACTACATAACAGTCACAGATATGAGAAATCGAAGTGACTAAAGTGGAAATGTGGAACAGTACGTACATAGAAACCAAGCTGTTAAGACTCCCAATAGCAGGTGAAATCTCGCCCTCAAGATTCAATCCCGAAAGATTGCTGCAAAAGTATAAAAAGGGATTCGAATCTTGTTGAGAAGGAACCAGAAGAAGACACATGCAATATGCAGGATGAACATACAGTTCGACTTACAGTGCAACCACATTGAAGGTAACATTATCACATGTGACCCCTCTCCACGCACAATAATCTGATGAAGGTGAGTCTGACCAGTCATATAGAACGTTATCCACATCCCTCAACGATTTCTTAATCTCCAACAACGTCGCTCCTTCAATTGAAACAAATACTCACACATTATGCATATAAAACAGAGGAAGAAAATTAGAGTAAAGGCATAAAGAAAAGAGAGTAAACCACTCACCGTCGTCTTTATTCACCGAACTGATTGAATTCAAACAAACGAGAAAAAGCAGAATGTGGAGTCCAACTCCCAACCGGAATGCCATGGGCATAGTGCATGAAAGGCCTTGTGCAGAAGTGGTTGAAATGATGTGAGTTTCGTTTGGGAGAGTTACAGATGAAGCAGAGGTTTCGTTGTTGAATCACATCACATCAGCCTGCACTGCACATACTGATAGTGTGAAGAGGGGGAGAGAGAGAGAGAGAGAGAGAGAGAGAGGGGAAAATAATTTGACGAATAAAGTTAAAACTATCTGGCACGGCTTCTGCAGAACCTGCAACCCTGCACCCACCTATCTCTTCTCTTCTCTTTCTCTCTCTGCTGTGATAGTCTCTATCATGTAGCCAGAGCCAGGCCCAGTTTTCTTTTTTCTTTTACTCTCTCTCTTTAACTAATAACTATATGCTATGCTATGGACTATGGTACAGTGACTCAGAGTGGTATCTTATTGAGCCATTGAGATGGAAAGGCGTCGCTTTCGCTGTGTGTTTGGTGTGGCTGTGATGAGAAGCAGTAATGGAAGGTAATCCATTTGAAGCTCAGCTGACAGAGACACCTTTCTCTTTACCATTTACTCTTTCTTTATCATCGCTGTTTCTTTCTCTCGTTTAATGTTGTTTGTTAGTTATCCCATTCCAGGGGACTCACCTATCATTCCTACTTCTACATCCTATGTCAAGTGTTAATCTTGATCACTTTAATTCAAAACGTGTTAATCTACTGTATTTAATAAATAATACTTTTTTAAAAATACTTTCATTACAAGTATTTTTTTTAATATAATTTGTGAATACCTTCGTTTATAAAGATGATAGTAAAAATATATTCTTTTAAATTGTTTATATAAATTACAATTTATTTTTATAACTCTTCCGATATATATGTCTATGACGCTTTCATTTCTATACAAAACTAATTTTCTGATGCGCTGATCGTTACATATACGCATTACCACTTTAGTTAGCATGGTTTTTTTTTCCTTTGTCAATTTGATATTTTTACCTAGTTATCACTTCTATTTTTAAGTTGAATGATATCTATCACTGTTTTTATATTTAATTAAAGATATATTATTTTCTTCTTATAGATGCGAAATGGATAAAAGAACGATAGATTTTTTTAAAAATATAATGAGAATTAATGCGATAAAAAAATCAATAAAAAAGTATTCACTTACTGGTTACTTTTTTTGTATTTAAAACAATGTCTCGTTGCATTTTTTATTTAAAATAGAAAAAAAAAATCGTTCTCAACAAATTAAAAAGTATTATATCTCATCTCACATGACTATCAAAATCTTATTCTGTAGTAACGATATCATTTTTTTTATATAAATAATTTTCCTTTAAAAACAAACCTTAACTTTTTAATATAATTTGAGTAGAACTATAATTTTTAAATATATATATATATATATTATCATTATTTAATATTTTTAGTTTTTAATTAATATAAAGAAAGAACTTTTTTGTTTGTAATAATCATTCTCCCATTTCAAATAAAATTATTTTTGTATATAAAATATCTGTAATTTAAAAAAAAATTCTTTGACTTAATTATTAACAATGATATTTATATAAAAGCAAAAATATGAAACACTTTTTTGGATTCTCACCTTTTCTTAATTTCTAAGTTATACAATGATTTTTTTTTTTGTTTTTGCATTGCACATGTATTCTACTATATGTATATAAAAAAAAAAAACAAAATATATATAATAAATATTTTTGTTATTATTATTTTTTGTTATTATTGAAAGAGATTTAGAAGTCTAAAAATAAATAACAAACTAGCCAACAAGCATAAAACAGTTGAGTCGATTAGAATTTAAGCTTAGAAAAAGTAAAAGAAAAAAACATAGATTCTTAAATTAAAAGAAAATAACCTAATTTAATTATAAAATCAACACATTAATTAGTTTCCTATATATATATATATATAGGTAAATCCAACAAAATCAAATATTGTATATAAAATAAATTATATATAATAACATGTGATGTTATTGTTAATAATATATAAAAAAAATTTAAAACTTAAAAATAAAACATAAATATAGAATATTTAAATTAACACACACGTCGATGTATACATTGATTTGACGTCACATGTCGAATTTAAGTTTAAAAGTATCTTGAATTTAAATTGATTTTAAATTAAATTAAAATCGATTAAATTTAAGCAGAATATTTAAAAGAAAAAAACGAGACATTTAATGGTAGAAAGATCATATAGCTAAAATAATACCCCTTGAAAAATTATAATTAAAAAATAAAGACTCAAAATTATAATATAAAATAGGACCAACAAAATGAAAATATTATAAGTTCTTATTCATTATATTTTTCTATATTCCTTTCATGATAATTATGTCGCAATACTGTGAGCATTCAACACTTTTAGCTTTAGCTTCATTAAAACTTTCTAAATCTTACAGCTTAAATATGATTTTATTTTGCACGAGCATGAGAATGATATGTTGGCGGGGTCAGTGTTTTTTTCTTAAACATATATTTTATGAGCATATTTATTTATACTTTAACGAAATATTATTAAACGATTCACCACTAGAAACTACACAGTTTTTATGATTATACATACATATTATACATTTATATATATGTGTGAGTCAATCCGTTAACAGCAAGTGAATAAAAGAGTGTTGTACTGTTGTATCAAACGGTTCTCTTTTTAGCTGTTTTATATATATATAATTTTGCATTAGACCGTTATTCCTTAATTTAAAATACAAAACAAAAAGTTTAATTAAAATTTGAAATGTTAAAAATAATGCAACAACTTCCATTAATAAACTTAATTGTGTATCTAAATTAAGTAAAGATGAAGAAACTCTATAATTTTCAAATTTAACTTAAATTTTATTTGATTAAATGATCCCTTTTTTTGTCTTTAACAAAAAAAAAACAAGATTAACACTCAATTGGGGAGTAAAGTATTTTTCAGAGTAACACATCAAATGTTTAAATTCTTAATATTATAGATAACATATTTAAGATCAGATTATTTCTACTGTCACTAGCCACTGTTGAATAAACTTCAACAGGGTTTAGAGATATTTAAAAATATATTCAGTGCGCAACCTAATGTTTAAAAAAGATAGAAATGTTTTGCATTACAGTAACGTACTGTATAAATGGTCGTAGAAGTTACTATGAAGATAATGACACCTCAATCTTAATGGCTTGTTTGATATGCAAAATTCCCATGAAAATGAAAATACGAAAGGTAGAGATTAAGGGTTTGTTTGATTTAGTTTTGATTTTTAATTTTAAAAATTAGATTTTAAAACAAAACAAAATAAATTAATTTTGTTTCATAACTTAGTTTTTAAAACTATTTTTAGTTAGACTTTTGTTAGTTTTAGAAAGAAAAAGAAAAACACCTAAATAGCAATTTTGTTTTTCAGTTTTAAAAACTGAAAGCAAAAATTAATTTTCAAAAACAATTTTTAAAACATACATTAACAAGCAAGTTTTTTTATTTTTTAATTTTAAAAACTAAAAACTCTATTTAAAAAAAAAAAAAAACAAGCTCTAAATGTGGTTTTGTTCTGTACAAGTGAGAGAAGGAGTTCAAACTTGAAATGACCGCGGCTCCAATGTTTTTCATCAGTTGTTTTGTGCGACGGAAAGGGTGGAAGCTTTTTTTTTTTTGGGTTTTTCAACTAAGGGAAGCATTAATATGTTTTAAAAAGATGACATGGTGAATCTTAAAATAATTTGTATGTATGTTTTGTCAAGAGATCTCTGACGGCTAAAATACTATTATGAGAGTGGTTTGCGGTAGTTTTTGTAGGCCTAAGATGATTATAGCGAGATGATATGTGTTTATATAAGCAAATTTCTAATACTCAAATTAATGAAGATTTTGGAAAAGTTTTGGGGCAAGATATACTTCATGTCTGGGAGAAGCCTTTCTTTCTACTGTTTATAGATAAGGGTGTGTCTTGATTAAGGGATGATGTCATTCTTATGACTTTACACCATTGAACGACATAAGTGACATGTTTGGATTCTATCAAGGTCAGTGTCAACTTATTTCTTTTAACCATAACATGGACATAGTGAAAGCAAAACCAAAATTTGAACCTAGGAACCAAAATCTGATGTGTGTGTCCTCGGGGTGAGTCAAAATCTGCCACGATGGCATGATGCAGGCAGGGTGATTCATGAAACAGCGACGGAATTTGCAACCCGCTATGGCAGCAGTCACCATGGATAGCGGTGTGAAGGAAGATGGTGAGTAGGGGTTATGTACAACACTATAGTGCTGAATCTCATTCTCATATTTACTGAACTGATAAAAAGTGAATTAATATTTGTTTAATTAATTTAAAGATATCATTATAGATTATTCAGAGTATAAAGGAACTACTTGAAATACAATTTTAATTTATAAACACAGTGAGTATTCATTTAGCATCTTTTATTTCTGATTATTGTTATTTTGCATGAAAGCAGAGGGCATTGTAGTGATTGAGTTCTGTGAAAGAGGAAAGAGGGTTACCTTGGGAAGGACGTTTGTGTCCTCTGATTCAATCATCATCATTATTCAAATATTGATTCCTTTGACTGTTCCTCTGTTTGGTGAGGTCCCGCCTACTCCTTAGACCCGTCCCTTGACGCCGTTATTTTTGCTCTCCCACGTCCTTTTCAGGTCTGCATGTATTACAATCACATCATTATTACTCTTTCTAACTTTTGTTACCCAACACTCCATTTTTTTTAATTCTATTTTTTTTATTTTAATCCCTTTTATATATATATATATATATATATATATATATATATATATATATATATAACTCATCTTCTTAAAAAAAATGTATCGTAATACATGTTAATTTTATAAAATTAGACTGGTTATTAAATTGAAAAGTACGGTTAGTTTTCAGTTTATTAATTAAAGTGACTCAATTAAACTATTTAATAATAATAACAACATATTTTTAACTAAATTACATTATTTAATCATATTATTAACATTTTTACTTACTTTAATTTTTTGTTAAATCTGTTCATTGAAGATAAATAAAAATTATAAAAAATACTTAAAAAATATCAATTGTGTTAACATAAAAGTACGAGAAAGTATATAAACTAATATAAAAAATAAAGTTAAACAAAAAAATAATATAAAATAATCATATTAAATGTCTCGTGAGATAAATTTTGTAATAAATAATTAAATAATTGTGATTTGTATGGAAATAAATTTTTATTTATTTTAAAAATATATTAAAGAATAAAAAAATAAATGTAATAAAAAATGTAAGTGATCAATTTAAATGAGTTTATTTTTATTTTTATTTT